TACTTGAATCATTTATCTAACATTTAACTAAACTTAATTATAAACTTCTATTCAAAATATCAATTGATTTTTTACTTCAAAAAACATATATCTATACTGATATTTTAGATTTATTATTACTACATTCTACTATACTTTACTCTACTAACTACTTTAAATTCTTTTATCTACCTATTAGATCTCAAACTCTGAATAATTCTCTACTACTCAATATTATAATATATAATATAAAAAGATATAACTAACTATTAAAAAGAAAATTATGAGAAAAATACTACTTTATCTATAATTTATACATAATAAGTCTCACTAAAACAAAAATATTAGCTCAATATTCTGCACTTTATTTCTTTAATACAAAAGACTTTATTTACTTTTAGGCTAACTTTGAGTTTTCTGCAGAAAGTATCTGTATTATAATTAATATAATAATTAAGCTACACATATATAATATTTATATACATTTAGAAGGAGCTATTGCTATTGACCTCTTCTTCAAAAATAACTTTAAATTTCATATTATATCTGTTTACTTATCAAGTACAAATTTAGTAATTAGATAAGTAATACAAAACAAAATTATTCACTAGATCCAAGAGGCTTTATTTACTAACTTACTTTTTATTATTATAGAAGACTTTAATTTAAATACAGAATACCAAGCTAATTACTCTGCTAAAACCAAACTATTTTCCTACTTACAAAGCCAAAATATATATGACTTAGCAGATTATAATCAACTAACCAACATACTTAGCAAAGCAGTTATTTTAGTAGCAGAATAGATTATATATAAATATATTACTCTACTATACTATATTTTTTAAATTTTATATTTACAGATTCTAAAACTATATCAAATAGTGACCACTAAATCTTATATTATTAGTCTTTTTTCTTCACTCTTCAAAACAAACCCAAATATAAAACTAATATTTGATATAGAATATTTAACTATAAATTCATAAATTCTGAATTGTGAAAAAACTTTGCAAATTCAGTTTCATTAAATCTAAATACTAACAAAATATCTATAAACTCAATTCAAACAAAATAACTTGAAAAGAGTTGGTATAAAATACAGACTAGTATCTCTAAAGCTACCCTTACAAATATTCTAAACAAAAGATTCAAAGCTTTTAACTTTTAATACTAATATAATTTCAAAACTACTAACTTATATTAAGATCTTAAAGCTCTAGAAAATATAATTCAAACTATCAAAAAGTTATTAGCAACAACTTATCTATACCATAACATATAATTATAACAATTTAACAACTCAACTCTAAATATGAGTTTGATATTCTACTACTGTCTTTATTTATAGCACAACTTGTCAACTAGATTAATATTACTAAACAGTATTAGAAAATTCTGTTTCATACTTGTAATCTTAAAAATAATAAGGCAACTTATAAGCAAATTCATGAAGCTATAAACAAACTTTGTAAAAATATCTAAACAAATCCAACTAAAATGATTAACAATATACTTAATAGATATAAAAATCTAGTTAAATTTGATAATATCAAAACAAATAATAAGCTTATTACAGAACTAGAGTCTATTAAGCAAACAATCCAAAATTATTTTTATAATTAGACAGCTTCTTGACTAATTAATTTTAATATTTTTAATACTAACTAGGCTACAAAATATATTTCTAAAACTAGCATTCAAACAAACTAGTATTCAAATATTCTCCAACTAATACTAATTAATAAAGTTCAATAATCAATTTGTTAACTTCCAAATAGAAAGCTTGTGAACTATCTAAAATTAGCTATAAAATATTTAAACATAAATGTACTCTATTTCTACAACTTATTACTAAACTTCTAAACTAATACTTAACATAACAACAAATTTCTAAATAATAAAAAGATGACTATATCTTTCTAATATCTAAAAAAACTATTATTTGATAGAAACTTATCAAATATAAGACTAATTAGTCTAATTAAACATATGAAAAAACTTTATATTAAATTACTAACTAATTAACTTAATTATATTCTAACAAAATATAATATACTATTACCTTTTAATTATATTATACTACCTAATAATAGCACTAATATACTAATTAATATTCTTAACAATATTATAGAGAATACAATATACAATGAAAAAGAATTTTAGCTTTTATCTTAGAATATAAGCAAGGCATATAACTCAGTTAATTTTGACCTCTTTAAACTAGCTCTCAAAAAAATCTAATTTCCAAAACCTTTAATTAATATCCTAACTAACCTTCTTCTTAATCGAATAAACAAAGTTATTACTAACTTTAGACTTACAAATTCATATTAGGTTTAAAATAGTATTAACTAAGGAGAAATAATAATACTACTCTTTTGGCTAATTTATTATGATTCTCTTATAACAAAAATTGCTAAAAAAAATAAAAAGTTATTAGATATCTACAATATAGTCTAAAAATATATAACAAACTAAGCCAAATAAAATTTATACTAATACTTTAGTCTTAGCATATATAGATAATATACTATAGGTTACAAGATTCAAATTACAACTTTATAAAACAATTAATATCACTACATCCTTCTTTTAAATAACAAATATTCAAGTTAAATCTAACAAATCTATCTTAGTTTCTAATACTATAGACCTCTATAGTATCTAATTTATTAATTCTTTCATTACACCAATTTCAATAAAAATACTATTCAAATTTCTTAGCTATTAGTTTATATTAAACAACAACCAAAAAGCTTAAATCAATCTAATATTAAAAGAAGCTTCTTCTCTTGCTAATATTTTAAATACAAAAAACATTATAGACAAATAAGCTAGTTATATTATTAACAAAGTTATTATTTCTATACTAGAATATTAAATACAAAATGTTATTATTCTTATGACAACATGTCAAAAAATATTATTAAAATATCTTATAGTTGCTAAACACAAAGCAAGTCACTTTAAAATACTTCCAAATAGTACTATACTAAAGATAATATCTAAGATATTTAACTACAATAGCACATAACTAACTTTCTATTACAGCTTAATAATTCTGATTTATTAGAATTATCTACTCAAATATAAGTTTAACAACTTCAAAACAATTTATAGTCTACTATAAATCTCTTTTAATATTCAAATCTATTAATTAAAAGACCTAACAAATATACAACTATTTGCAAAATTATTAAACTTCTTAATCTACTGAATATAGTTATTACTATAACATTAACTATTAGTATCCAAAAACCTATTAACATAATGCATACCTACTAAAACAAATACTTAACAAACACCTACTTTATTCAACATTTAAACAACAACTTTACAAAAAGAATATTATCTATTTAGATCAACTTACAACTTCTGGAAATAATATTCTTCTTAAATAGCAATATATCTCATCTCAAGTTCTTTATTTGCTTAAAAGAAAACAGCCTTTATAGTTTTCTTTTCTAGAAGAAATGATTATAACAAATTTATATACTAGAAAAATTATAAAATCAATAACTTTAAATTCTTCTAATCCTTTTCCACTAAGTACAGGTCATTTTAAAGTTAGAAAACCTTGAATCTTATCAACTACAAGCAACTAAATTATCCTTGAAAAAGCTTATAAATTCTTCTCTAGCAATAACTCTATATCAATAACCTACTGGACTATTAACTATAATCTAAGCTACACAGCTTACTACTTTAACTTACAAATTAACTATACCACTTGTCTGAGTTGTAATCTAAATTCTAATTGTATTACAAAATCATATACTATTAAAGTATCAGATACATATAGTACTAAAGTCTAAGCTAAGCCTCAAAGATCAAAAAATAGTAACAATAGTTATATGAAGATGAGAAACATATTTGCTTCTATAATTAGCTAAGAAATAAAAAAGATAAATTAAATCAGTAGAATATTGAAAAAAAAATCTGTTTTATTTGAGTTAAATAGATTTTGAAATTCTAATTATTTGAAGTAAGTTTGAGATAACATGAGATATGCTTATAATTAGCAATATATAGATGCACTAATAGCTAAGCAGTAATTGTAGTATGAGATACTATGTCTATAAATTTGTAATAAATTAGAATGATATTGACATTTTGTTTAAATAGACAGCATATTTCTTGAGTTGTATTTTTTTTAATTCATAATCCTTAGTTTTAGGCTTGCAGAGACTCGCCTTCAAGAGAAGGAATATATTATAGTTTTAGTTTGTGTAAAGGCTGTGTGATGCTAAAATGATAGCACGAAGCCTCTAACGGGTCAGGTCTCTTAAGATTGTAAAATATATAAAAGCACAGGTAGTCTCATTTAATAAAGAAGAGGAGTTAATGTCTTTCTTAATAAAGTAACATAAAACAATGATCTGCCTTTCCTTTATTTCCAACTATCATTAATGCTTGAATTCCACCTGGTTAAGTAAGATGTCATCACGTCCAAACCAGATTAACTATTGGAGCTAAATTGTGCAATTATCCGCTCTCCCAATCTACAATAGTAACAACGTCCCGTTAAAAGGGGGGAAAAAAAATCGTAATTAGAATTGAGTTAGATTCACATGTCTGTTTATTAGAAATTTCAGAAATATTTTTATTTTTTAGTTGTTTTTTTAGCAGTATATGAAAATATTCATAGAAAAGTTTATACCGAAAAAAAATATGACAGATTATCCGGATACATCCTAGTACGGATTACTTCCAAACGGATCTTCTGATATCTTCATAGGATCGGATAATTAGTCGATGATTCGGATTTCCTGAAAAGTTAATATCAATAGTGATAATAAAAAAATGCAGTGCGCACATACGTATTACCGTTACGAGATTCAAAAAGGAAGATAAGGAACAAAAGAGAATTTAATTCTTTGTAGAGATTAGAATAAAAAGTCAACAAATGTTTTTGAAACCTATACAAATATCCTATTGTTTATAGTCTTTTAATATTATACTCTTAATTTTTTTTCTTTTTTGCAAGTTTTCGTCGAACCTTGATCTATATCTGAATTATGGATGATAACATATCTCAACCTGGAATTGATATTCCAAGTGTTCATAGTCCAGACCACCAGACTAGAAAGAAAATTTTACATACTATTTCAGGATTGGGATTTAACTTAAATAACATAATCGGTGCTGGTATTTAGCTTTCAAATCTTATTCATGTTCTTTCTGTTAATGAGACTTATTATTATCTTTTGCTTTTGCACAAGGAATTTTTATAATTCCTAGTAGCGTATGGAGACTAACACAATCACCAGGATCCGCCTTAATACTTTGGATTGTTGGTGGACTTATAAGTTTATTTGGTAGCATGATTTATGTTGAGGTAAAATTTTAAATAATTGACTATAAATAAACTAGCTCTTTTGGCAAGATTAAGGATGCCTCTCGAAAGTCGATACTTTCGGCAATCTTGATATCGAAATTATCTCGAAAGTACTTTCGAAAAATTATTTTTTTTCGAAATGTTCGTCATATCGAAACTCGAAAGTCATATCGGAAGTCGAAATTAATATCGAAAATCTAAATTCTTATCGTAATTCGTAAGTCTTATTAGAATCAAAAGGTCTAATTGAATGCAAACATTTTAATAAAAACTCAATACTTTTAACTTAAAAAAAATACTTATTCGAATAGTCAAATAATATGCGCTTACGTATAGATCGCCGTTAAATTCCATTTGTCAATTTTAATTTTTGTTTATTTTTTAAAATTTGTGTAGCGATGATTATCGAAATTAGTCAAGCGCGATAACTGATAAATAAGAATGAATCGCTAGCGTTAGTATATAAAAAATAAATAAAAATTACACAATGCATAACGATATACCTGGATTCAATAATATATAACTTTCGGTAACACATTGACATTTAATGAACTTTCGACTTTCGATCACACTTTCACTTTCGAGTTTCGATTAGACTTTCAATATCAATTTTGGATTTTCGATACGCCAAAATACTTTCGATAAGCATCCTTAGACAAGGTTGCCTGTTATTGCATTCCACTGAGTTCCATTAATATTTTTTTGAAGCTTGGATTCAATTAATTAAAATTTTCATTTAATATTCAACGAATTAAAATAGTTGGGAACTAGGTTTTCTGATGGATCAGGAGAACAAAGATATCTTGAAGAAACATTTGGTGATTTGACTAATTTTGGACACATATTCAGTTTTATCATTATAACGTGTGTGAATCTCAAAAATGTTATTGATTTTATTTAAAATTATAATACATCATAATAATCTGCTGCTTCAATCGCTTAAAAAGTGGAATCCTCCCCGGAATGATACTAGCTGACGCCTATGCCTGCTCTGAATCCATTCTTTATGCTATTAAAGGATATGATGTAATAGAAAGTCAAGATCTTAGTGAAAACTTTTTGTACGTGAATTATATTTATTTCATTTTATTCAGAATATTAATATAATTTTTAAATTTGTCAGTATGTTACGTCTTACTACTGTCGGTATTCTACTGATTATCACATCGTATCATGCATTTTCGAATCAACTAGCAATTAACATTAATAAAATAATTGCTTTAATTAAATTTCTTGCTTTGTCTGTTATTTCAATAATCGGATTGATAAAATATCGAGGAATGGATATGTTTAATAATACACCATCGGAAGATTCATATCAGAGATCTATTGTAGAGCAAATTGGAGGCTACGGCAATGCGATATTAAAGGTAAGTTATAACGTAATAAACAAACTTTAAATATTTAAACATACATCTTATTATAATTTATAGGTAAAATATATACAATATTGGCTTTTTTTAATAATGTTTAAAGAGACTAGATCACTTTAATTAAAACTTATGCAAAATTAAACATAGATATTATTTGCATATGAAGGTATATTAATAAATTCTTGTTTTTATTTATCTAAATTGTAATGAACAAATTATTAATTATTAATGTATCCATGCTTATATTTAAAGGATGGAATAATTTAAATTGTAAAATAATTTATTAGAAAATAATTAAAAATAAGGTTAATTTTGATGGTTAATAATTTTTTTTTTTCAGACTCAACTGAAGAATTAAAGTTTCCAGCAAAAAAATTTGAAAATTTCAAATATTCTTAGTGTGTTAATTTCTACTATACTTTGTAAGTCTATTTTTTTATTATATTTTATTCTTTTATTCGAAACATTTCACATATTAAATTCCAATAATTTTAATTGTATTACTTTTTATTATAGATTGTCTAACTGTCTTTGCTTTTGAAATGGTAGTCGATCCTAAAGACGCTATTAATTCTAATGAGATTATCTCTATACATTTTGGACGAACTCTTTTGGGTGAACCAGGGAAAATTCTTATTTTAATACTCATCGCATTTTCCTCTTTTGGATGTGTGGGTTCATTAGTCTTTGTGTAAGTTTATTAAATTGATCTTATAACTTACTATAATTGTATTCACTAAAATTTTATTTTAATAGTGAGTCTCGCGTTATAACTTATTTAGCAAAAACTGGATTTACACCAAAAATTTTTAAATTTTTTTATAATTGGCATAAAAAATTTGAAACACCATTTAATGCATTGTTTGCCCAATTCATATATTGCTCAATCTTAATCATTATATTTCCGGCGGGCGCAAGTTTCTTTGCATTTTTTTGTCGATATGTCACAGTATTTAGCTATGCTATTTTATGGTGTTAGCGCAGTGTGTTTATTAGTAAGTTTGATTATTTAATTGTGTTTAATCTATCAAGTTATTTTAAACTTTTGTTAATTTCAAAATAGGTTTTAAGGAATAGGCGAGCGGATATGGAATATACTAACTACGCTGATTTTAAAGCACCTTTTATTTGTATCATAATTTTCTTTTTATGCACAATTTTTATTGCCGTGGCACCATTTTTTCCACTTCCACATAGTAATCACGAAATGTTAAATTATCCTTCCTACTTGCCAATTGTTTTTTCATGGATTACCATATTAATAGGTGTAGCAATTTGGTTTATTTGGTGGCAAAAATCTAAAAATTCAAATACAAGTTAATATTAAAATTAATTTTAGATTGGGTTTTTTTAATATTAAAATCTTAATATTTAATTTTGATTTATAGATTAAATTTTGAGTTAAAAATTGAAATATAAAATTAGATGCTTGAAATACTGTATTTAAAAGAAGTTACAAATATAATAATTTCTTAAATAGTAATTAAATAAATTGAATTTTCTAATTATATTATTGTTATTAGATCTTTCAACTAGTTAGTTTTGATTAGGTTTGCGCCTACACCTAATTTGACTTTTATTATCATCATAGGTTCAAAAAAAAAAAAAAAGACTTTTATAATACTTAATTTAATTTGAGATTAATCTTATTTCAATCTAAGATTAATTTAATCTAATTAAACTTGACTCAAAATTGATTTAATCTAAATTTTTGTGACCCAGGTCGTAGTGCATTGAACAAACCATTTAGATCATTTAAAATGCATAATAAACTATAAATAATAGGTATTGTTACTATTGTAAATTGTGAGAGCTAGTAACAGCGCACAGTTTAGCTCCAATAGTTAACATGGTTAGGACGCGATGACATCTCACTTAACCAGATAGGATTCAAGCATTAATGATAGTTGGAAATAAAGGAAAGGCAAATCAATGTTTTATGTTACTTTATCAAGAAGGACGTTAACTCCTCTTCTTTATTAAAATGAGACAGCCTGTGCTTTTATACATTTTAAGATCTTAAGAGGCTTGACCTGTTAGAGGCTTCGTACTATCACTTGAGCTTCACACAGCCTTTACACAAACTAAAACTCTAACAATGTGTATATAATTGTATTGGCCTTTGTCTTTGCCCGTGACCCGCCACATTTCCTTTTTGACTAAAACAGTGTAGAT